CCTACGGCTATAGTTGATCTCTTTGTAAAACGTTTTTGTGGGTATAATTTAAGAGAAAGAAATTGTTTGTCTTTACCGAAAGCAAGGACAGAAATTATGAAAAAGTCTATAAGCTATAAAGGATCAATTTTATGGAACAATTTGAACAATGAGACAAGAGAAATAGAAAGTTGCAAACAATTTTCATATTGTATAACTAGTTTAGAATTACGCGATTCAATGTTTAAATAGAACTTATTACTATAATCTAACTATAGATAGATAATTATGTAACCCACGACACTATCAGCTCTGTCTGTATTTAATTATCGTGGTTAAATAAATCTTTAATAATAATAATTAATAATAAATAATAATAATAAATAATAATTTGATTTGGCCATTGTTGGCAACACTTTTTGCATTGGGTATAAACAAAAAAGATTTAAACTGAAACTCGACACTGTCACTGACGACAGTATACTTTGTTATTGAGTTTTTGAATAATTATATAGTGCCAAGCGAGTTTTTGTATGCTATTGTGTAGAAAGGTCATTAGTAACTAATTAGTAACGCTTGATACTCTTTAGGATCATGTGGAATGTAATTAGCACTTAAAACGTTTCTGACACTATTTTGGTCATATATATCTTATATACACTAGATAGCGCATCTCTTTTAGTAAAATTGAATAGATGGCGGCCATGTTGGAGTTTCCCACTCGCTAATAAACTCTTAAAAAACAACAATAACTTTCATCATTTGAATAGTTTGCAAATGTATTTGGAATAGGTTTAACTTAATGTTTAAGTTCCCTGTTTAAGTAATAGAAAACACACGAGTCTTCTCATTTCATGGGAATATCCTGAGTCTGCAATCACGGCTTCAATTTTTGAATTGCAGAATAATTAGATGCACTATCTAGTGTATATAAGATACCTATGATTTTGGTATATGGTAATCTTTGGGCTCCCAGCAACAGTTGCAGTAGCTATTTAAATATAAAATACAGCATGTCTCGACTGAACATACTCATTGTTGACAACGCACCGTTGCCGTTCTACTGAAGCTAAGAGCAAACCCAGAAATCTAGCTAAAGAGCAAAGAAGGCGGTTTAAGTTAAGAAGATTTATTTTAAAATGAGTTTGCGAAATAAGACACGTGTTAGTACAGTCACGCGAATGTTGGTGTACTTCGAAATAGATAAAAGCATGTACGTGCATTCAGGAGACGAAGTTTATTAAAAGACAAGTATCGGTGGCAATGCACTGATAGAAGGGGTTGTAGTTGTGATAGACTATGAAGGACAGGAATATCAGGCTGACATGCAGGCTACAATAATCAGTCAAACTCAATGGTAAGAGTTTTTTCAATACGTTATAAATAGTTGCTTTCTCCTATAATTATATTGTTATTATAAATGGGTGCATGATATAGCTCGATATAATTGAGGATTGAGTAATAAGATACACTACGTCTTCGAGAATACAAAGATAGCTTTCCTATTGTATTGCTTCCCAACCTTCTGAATACATTTAAAATCGCAAAAATCTTGTTGATTCTGATTTTTAAAATACAGTATTTGCACTCGTCAAAGCCTTCGGGTTCCGCCGTGAATTGCGGTCAAGCCTCACTTCGCCCGCACAACCGCGGTGTAACCGCGGGCGATCCGTGGTTCAACCGCGGGCGAACCGCGGTTGACCCGAGGTCGAACCTAGCATGATCCGCGGTTAAACCGCGTCGACCCGCGGTTCCGATATAGTGGGGTTAAAATCTGGAATAGCATTCCTGGACAAGTAAGAAAAGCGAATCTTTAAATTCTTTCAATAGGAATATTTCCTCTGTTAGCCTGACGAATTAGCCGTTTGACTATTGTACCACTTGTTTTGTAATATGTATTTTGTATTCGTATAGTTCTTAATATTATTAGTGATTTTCTATTTTATATATTTTTGTAACATAAATTATCTATGCCCCACTAAAAAGCAGCTTCGGTTGAAGTGGCCAACGTAGTCAAATAAAATCCTATCCTAAAACATACAATATGACCAAATGAGTAGATGACTGTTACTTCTGCTTGTAAAACCTTCCATTCTTTGAAGCTCCTCGTCGCTTTTATTATTCGTCATAACTGCTAAGATGTATTTAGAAAATACTCGCAAAACAGGATTGCTAAAGATTGACAGACGATGTGCCATATTTTTGAAGAAATTTGATCCAACCGAGTAAACGTCACTATAATCCAAGTAATCGACAAGTTATTCAACAGGCCTTAAGCCAGTTTTCCACTTCGATCGTAATGTATCGTAGCATTTTCTTTTGTGTCGAAGTCATTAGTTCCACTCCAGTGGTCAGGAAACAGAGAAATACGCTACGTTTCGGTACGATGCTTCGCAACATCCGTGAGTAAAAAAAGTAGGATGTCAAGATGATGAATTTCGGAAATTGTCGTCTATGGTTTTTTATTATACATGATGAATTTCGAAATTTGTCGTCAGGACTCAGGCCGAGCATTCGACAATTGTTTGTTGTTTTTTTATTACACATCTACAGTACAGTACTTATTTACATCGCTATTTGGTCAGTTTCGCAACTTCTGAGATGTGTGCAATGTGCTTTATTGATACACAATGTCAATGTAACATGCAGTGTCCACAGGTATCTTTTACGATAATACGACTTCATTGATAACGATCTCATTCATTCTTTAAGATTTCAGTTACGAGCTTACTTTCGTGGGGCTTCGGTGGCGAAGTGGTTAGCTCACTTGCCTTTCGCCTCCAAAGTCGCCGGTCAAGCCTCAGCGAGAACTTCCTCGATGCGGCTCAAACCCAGTCCTCCTGTGAAACGAGTAAAGTCAACGCTCTGCTGAAAGTCGTGGGTTTTCTCCGGGTACTCCGGTTTCCTCCCACAGGGAAAGTTGAGAGGGTGGGTTAGGTAAAAGGGACCACAGCAATTGGCATACCTCTGTTGTGGTGACCCTGCCCTAGTTGGCAAAGCTAAATAAATTATTTTATACTAGCCTCCTGCGCAGACGTCGTTATCAATTTTCACGATGCAAATGATCGACAATAATTCGAATAATTCAGGTAAGGATAGCTTTATTTCTTTCTGGTGTATACATGAATGAAGGCATTTATATTTAGATCTTAAGGAGCCTCTGCGGAGGAGAGAGGAGGGCCAGAGGCAGCCATTTTCATGGCCTCGAAAATGACGGCAACTATTGAGGAAAGTAACTGAAAAACGTAAATAAAAGCCGCATTGCATTGTGGTTGATTATGCCCCTTTAAGAACATTTTAAAACCATTTTGCAAAGCGTTTGCGGTTGAATATGCTTATATTACGTATAATAACATACCTAACATATATGTTTGGGAAATTGATAATTTTGTAATTAAAAGTGATATTTTAGGGGATTTTTCAATTTTAAAAATATTCTTAATAAAATTATCGTGTTACTGTTACCGTTGTTAGGTTCTTTGATGCCAATAACACAGGAATTAACTCCAAAGGTCTTTATTTAATGGTGTATAAAACACTTAGTATACAAATTATCTATCTGACTTCGTTATATTTTCTAATCCTCGCTGACTCTAAACCCTTTTCTATTGCGCCACACATGTGCGCTACATACATATATTTCTTATCAATCAACGCGTAAACGTCATTCAATGTCCGGTACAAGCTAATTGCTATTTTAAGTCCTTGGATATTAACATATTCCCCCTCTTGAAACAAGTGTCGTCCCATGACACTTACTCTAACGTCTATTGTTACAGGGGATTCCATGCTATGTTACGGCACTTCAGAGGAACGTCCCCTATACTGCTATCACGATAGTCAACTAGCCTCTAACTGGATCCTATTTTCAATACTACGCTTCAATAATACGCTGCAGGTAATATAAAGTTCTGGAATCTTTTTATATATTTTTCTCTTAGCTTAATATTTAATAAGAAAAAAAGTTCATGTCAGCTTGATAGGGAAAGGCCCATGGTCCATACAAAGGTCGCTGGTGGAAAAATGGGTGAAAGGTGTCGATAGGAATTCCATACATGGGTGGTGGATAGAAGGGTAGGTGAGGTGGATTGTAGCTGTAAGGGGACGATAAGAGGTGCAACAGGTAAATAGTTACAAGGAAGCAGCAGGTTTCTATGCAGCACTCTTATCTTCGTACCATTGGTTTCTGCTTTAACTTCATAAACGGGGCTGTCTGGTCCCTTCCTTCGAACAATGACGTGAATATCGTTTTCCCAAAAGGATCTGAGCTTTCCTGGACCACCTCGCTCACTTAGATTTCGCACCAATACTCGATCGCCGGACTGGAGCACCGAACTACGTACCAAACGATCATAGTATTTCTTGGCTTTCACACCGCTCTGTGTCGATTTCTGTCTCGCGACTTGGTGTGCTTCTTGCATCGCTTACCGCCATTCAGAGACGTGCTGTGGGTAGTTCGTGTTGGTCCTGGGTGATCTGCTACGGAAAATCAAGTCGATTGGTAGACGTGGATGACGCCCGAAAAGAAGGAAGAATGGTGAATATACAGTTGAATCGTTTCTAGTACAATTATAGGCGTGTACTACTTTGTTTACATGATCTTTCCACCGAGATTTTTCGTTTTCCGGGAGTGTTCTTAGCATATCGAGCAATGTTCTGTTGAAACGCTCGGCTTGCCCATTACCCTGTGGATGGTAAGGTGTAGTACGGGAATGTTTGACACCCGAAAGTTGTTCAAGCCGAGAGAGGAGTTGGTTTTCAAACTCTCCGCCTTGATCGTGGTGGATTTTCGCAGGGAACCCGAAACGTAACACAAAATCATTAAACAGTTTCTCAGCCACTGCCCTTCCCACTTTGTTCCGGGTGGGATATGCCTGTGCATATCGTCGACGATTACAAGGATGTACTCGAAACCTCCACTTGATTTCTCTAGGTGGACAAAGTCAATATATATTAACTCGAATGGTGAAGAGGTTATAATCGGCTGTAACGTGGCTCTGTTCTTTAATCGAGGAGGTTTCTGTTTAACACATCGACATTGGTTCTTCACGTAGTGTTCTATATCACTTTGCTTTCGAGGCCAGTAGAAACGGTCCCTCGCGAGATGTAAGACTCTATCAGATCCAATATGGCCCATTTTGTCATGAAGTTCTTTCAGAATCAACGAGTGGTACTTCCTGGGAAGAACTATTTGGTCGTACGCATTACTTTTCCTTCTTAACACCCCATTTGCATACACAATTTTTCCCATTCGTGAAGGAGCAACCTGGTGTCGGATGATTCTGTCGCTTGTTGGTTCCCTGTTGGTCGCTTATCCGCTTGAATGAAAGAGTAGACTTTTCTAATGACAGTATCTTCCATTGGGCCTTTTGGATGTCGGTTGTTTCGAAGGTTAGGCCCTGTTTACACTATACCGGATTCGCTGGTCACGACATGTTTTTTTTTCTGTGTTGGTGTTGTGTACTCAGGTGAATATGATATTTGTGATGTTACTCTGAGTGTATATCCACGCCGGGCGAGCTTGAAAAATATGCCCGGCCACGGTGGGATTCGAACCTACGACCTTTGGAATACTAGCCCAATGCTCTTCCAACTGAGCTACGCGGTCAGGACGGTTCGAGTAAGTGATATTTCGGAACAGAATCTAGTTCCTTCGATACCAATGTATTCTAGTAATATGATTTTTTTCTGTGTTGGTGTAGTGTACTCAGGTGAATATGATATTTGTGGTGTTACTCTGAGTGTATATACACACCGGGCGAGCTTGAAAAATATGCCCGGCCACGGTGGGATTCGAACCTACGACCTTTGGAATACTAGCCCAATGCTCTTCCAACTGAGCTACGCGGTCAAAACGGTTCGAGTAAGTAATATTTCAGAACAGAATCTAGTTCCTTCGATACCAATGTATTCTATTAATATGAATAGTATTCCAAAGGTCGTAGGTTCGAATCCCACCGTGGCCGGGCATATTTTTCAAGCTCGCCCGGTGTGGATATACACTCAGAGCAACACCACAAATATCATATTCACCTGAGTACACTACACCAACACAGAAAAAATTCAAATGCTTATTAGTTTGACAGAATTGGCATGTTTATTTGGGTCTCTGAGATTAAAAATCTTCACAGCCTTTCGATACCTACAAAATTTGACCCACTCCGATAGCAATCCGGTATAGTGTAAACGGGGCCTTAATCTGTTGCTATCGGGCTGTATTGCCGCGTCGGCACTCAGGACGTCCGGGTCGTCGGTGAGCGCAGATACCCAGTTTACCTGTCCCTTCTCTTGGAGTTGTGCAGTGCTGAGTATGGTCCGTAACTCATCTTGGCTTGTCTTCCGAGTACACGTTTTCATATACTCATTCATATCGTTCGATGTTCGAGAGAGCGTGTCAGCGTCGGCGTTTGCTTTTCTTGGCCGATAACGGATGGTAAAATTGAACTCCGCTAGCTCCCCTACCCACCGTAGTCCTGGTATACGTTAAGTTTGGCGGTCGATAAGACGTACGTCAAAGGGTTATTATCGGTAAACACAACAAAACTTGGCGCGTAGTAGAGGTAATCCCGAAACTGTTTGCAAATTGCCCACTTCATGGCTAGGAATTCCAGTTTGCCGGAGTGAATGTGGTAGTTCTTTTCTGCCGCTGTTAATGCCCGAGAACCGTAAGCGATGACACGTAGTTTTCGATTTTGTTCTTGGTACAGTACCGCACCCAACCCACTTTCAGAAGCGTCCGTGTGTTGGACGTAAGGGCTATTAGGTTCTGGATATGCCATTAATGGTAAGTCTATGAGGCACCCGATGATGAGTTTCTCTAGAGCGGACTGGTGAGCAGTTGTCCATATTACCGGCTGATTTGGGGGCGGCTGAGCACCACGTTTTCCCTTTACCTTGTTGTCGTTCATATCATCATCGTTTAGTGATGCTAGAGAAACCCTCTATGCATCGTCTGTAATAGTTCAGGAATCCTATTAGCTTTCGGACATCTTTCACTGTTTTGGGGACAGTCTCTTTTAATCGGAGGACTGGAGCAACTGTCGACGGGTCCAATGTATAGCCTTCTGCTGAAACTATTCGTCCAAGGAATAAGACCTCTCGTTTGAACATTGAACATTTTTTTGGTTTCAATTTTACGCCATGTTCTTTAAGACGCTATAGGACCTTTCGGAGGTGTGAAATGTGTTCGTCAAACGTGGCATTGAATACGATAATATCGTCGAGATATGGTACGCACATTTCGTCTCTTAGTTCACCAAGGCACGTTTCCATAAAACGTTGGAACGATGTGGTTGCATTGGACAGGCCAAATGGGATCCTAACCCATTCGTAGAGTCCCCACCGGGTTAGGACTCCTTGATTGTATGCTTTGCCTTGGTCGATCAGGGAAAACCACGAGTTGCCTCCTAAATTGTCTAACGTTTCCTGGATCCTCGGTATTGGATGCCGATCAACGTGGGTTTTCTTGTTTAACTCTCGGTAGTCCACGCATAGTCGTAAGCTCTGGTCTTTTTTTCTAACACACACGACTTGGGAGCTGTAAGAGGAGGTAGACTTGCGAATAAAGCTTCGATTTAGCAAGTCGCTTTAACCTCTGGGTATAGTGGTTTTGGTACAGCAACATAATTTTTCTGGACAAGTGTTTTGTCCTTCAGGTTAATGTTCATCTGGAGGTCTGGAATGCAACTGATGTCGTCATCGTTTCTCGCAAAAACATCAGTCTGTTCGATCAGAAGTTTTGTGGATAATTTTCTTTGCTCTTCATTTAGGGTACTCATATCATTATTCTTTAAAGTGAGAGGGTAAAGTCAACGCTTCGCCTGCTTTGTTTTGCGAAAACTGACTGGTTTGGCCTGACTGCGAACTATCTGTTCCGTTCGGATTCGACTTATCTGGTCGAATCCAAAGTCAACGGTTCGCCTGCTTTGTCTTGCGAAAGTCAACGGTTCGCCTGCTTTGTTTTTGCGAAAACTGACTGGTTTGGCCTGACTGCGAACTATCTGTTCCGTTTGGATTCGACTTATCTGCCCCACGAGTGTCTTCTGTCTTTAGCTTTACTTCGATCGGAGTGACTGATTGCACAAGTTGTAAGTGGCCTAAAACTGTCCTGTTCTTTAAAGTAATGTCATGTTTGGTCGTATTGTCTACCTCTATTTCAACTATACTAGATTTCCCTACATTTGCAGTCAACAGAGTGTTGGAAAATGGAGACCGCTTGGCCAGGTGGGGTTCTCGTCCGATTCAAACAAAACAGGTGTACGTTTATCTAGAGGACCCGTGTTCACTCTGCAACTCACTTTTACGGATTGGCCACGAGGTACGACAACATCTTTGTTGCAAGTCTTTACAACGCATAGTTCATCAGGGTATACACTGTTAACTAAATTCACAAGGGCTATCGCGTCACAAGCATTTATTCTAACGAAAGCTGCAGCTATTTCATCATCGTTCAGTTTATTAAATTTGATTAAATGTTCTATAACGTTGAAACCCACAAACGGAACTCCCAGAACGTGTTCTGAATCTCCAATTTGCAGGTCCAACTCCACCCATCCTCTGTGTGGTATGTCGCTACCATTGGCTGCGGTTAGGTTAAGATCGCCGTCCAGCAGATCACCGACATCACGAATCAACACATTTGGGAAGTGCTCTCTAATAAAGCTCGTTGAGGTCATGGATACCTGAGCACCTGTCCCACAGAATCTGAAACACTTTCTCATTCAGTCTTGCCTTTATTGCACATCGTCTTCCTACCAGGCTGATTGCTTCGGTATTAATTAATAATTAATTAATAATGGTATTTTAATAACACATCATCGCATGAAAATGAATTACAATGTGTTTTACAATTGATTTGAATGAGAATTACAATACTAAAAGTAACTATATTACAATGTATCATTAGATTATTAAATAAGAACTTATAACTAAGAACA